CGATGTGCATTGTAGAGACTATGTGGCCGTCGGAGACGCAGAAGCAATGTGCATCGTAGAGACTATGGGGCCGTCGGAGACGCAGAAGCGATGTGCATTGTAGAGACTAAGGGGCGAGTGAGAGACGGGCAATCGATGTGCTTTGTACCCTCCAGCTCTCCCATAGTCTCTACTCCCCTGCCGCTGCAAGCGCTAGCAAAACGCTGGTGAAACGCTGGAGAAACGCTGGCGTACGCTAGCGTGCCGCTAGCGTACGCCAGCGTGCCGCTGGTGACGCTGGTGAAGCTAGATCGATATGCATCCTCTCTTCGGCACTGCCGCTGGCGTACGCTGGAAGCGCTACGCTACGCTGCGCTACGCTACGCTGCCGCAAAGTATAAACGCAGCCTCAGCCATTCTCCAGTCATTGTAGTCGTCTGCCAGCTTCCAAAGTTGGCGCAGAACAGCCTGGTGCCACGCCAAATCCAGCCTCCTAAAATGCTCGTGTCCGCAACGAACAGAATTGTACACTATTGACACGGCAGCTAAACATTTTTGCTGTACGAAGCAATATTTTAGGGGCCTTCGCGCTTTCGCACATGCACCATATGAGTCCTAACTTGGTGAAAGATTACTATTCCATTCATGGGCCTTGCACCAAACATAGAAAGCGAAGGACTTTTCAGAATAGCCTAGAGCTTAATATTTTGATTCTGGACACCATCAAACCTCGTCGAGATGGGGCCTTCTTTCCTAGGCAGTCTTTTTTATTTCGCTGACATACCTCGCGTAAGTAACTAATCTGGGTATAATGAGCAGAAAGAGGTCTGCATGCTCATCACCGAGATCGGTAGGGCCTTCCTTGCCCGTGTCCCGTGAATGGTGATAGTGTCGTTGTGCCTTCGTTCTCTGTCCCACCCCTTCCAGGGTACCGTCGTCCCTTGTGTATTACAGGTGGTGCTATCTTGCGCTCGCACAGTGGCCGAGATCGACTGCATGAAGCAAGGCCCTTGCGAAGGTCGGTCTTCTTCTGTTTTCTTCCCCATTTATATGCCAACTGGCCCCGGCCCTTTTTTGACCCCATTACTTACGACAGCCATCGCGGAATGCCTCATTGGTAAGAAATGTTTCGCTAGGTGAAGGTGTGACGCTCTGTAAAAGTTGCAGGAAATAGGCGGCAAAAATAGCTGATAAAGAGTCCGCAAGTTCACATCTTCATCGCGTTAATTCCTCTTGTCAGACTGACTGATAAAGAGAAAGTGTCTTTCTCTGCCGTTGAACTTTGCCTTTTTCCTTAGTTACCACACTGGAGACCAGGCGACTCTACATGTGTCTTCAGCCTTTCTCCTTTGCCAATCCTAACAGCGAGACGCTTCCACACCCACCCCCCCCCCCACGATAGAAGCAGAGGGTCAACATTCATTCAAAAACACCTCATGGGCCCTTAAACTATGAAAGTCTCTTCGTCTGCGCAGGAAGAGCCCAGGGGTAATCATTAAGAATTAGTTTGCTTCTGAGGCCAAATGAATTCGCGTATATAGTGTAGTTCGCTGCGGACGGTTGGGCGTGTCAGGCGGATGAGTTTGGCGCGGTGCCAAACCCGTTCTCCACCAGTTGTTAAAGCGAGCAAGTGATATGACTGTATCATATCGTTCGTATTACTCGTTTTCTACCATTTGTCGCATGCGCGCCCCAACAAGAAGGTGAAGAACGGCTTTGACGGTGTGACACAATCCTACTGCCTGACACGCTCAACCGACCTGGTGGTGAGTATAATTATCAGCTGTATGTTACCAAAATACTGCTTGCGTCACGTTGGAGAGTCTCTTCCATGCGAATCTTTATGAAGACGCTACCACAACTTGAACGGGCTCTTGTCACTGTTATCATCTGTGCTCCCGTAGATTATCGAATTGCACAAAAGGAAGTCAGTGACGTTCCCATTTGTCCTCGTCACAAGCTTGCCTTGTGGGTTCTCTTTGCGAGGACTACAAAAGTGTAGCTCGTTCTCGCTACCGTTTCTGGGAGAGTCAAAAAAGGGAGAGCAATAGGGTGAAGGTTCGAATCCGTCAAGCGACGAAATTTCGCATTCCTGCACTTTTCTGTTTTCTTGTGTTCATATGAGACAGAACCTCCTGTCTGAGTGTCGAAAATTACTCGAATCTTTCGTTCATAAAACAGAGGAGCTTACGGACAGTCGTAGTAACCTTCGTGAAATTGTAGGGTTTGCCCTTTCTTGGCACTCGCAGGAGCGAGTAGCAATAATGAACTGCCCTTTTGTGCTCCACTCCACCCCCTTCCCTCCCCCCCCCCCATGAACTGGACAATATGCAGCAAACCGTTGCAACAGCATGAAAGACCTCCCACGTCAGCCAAAGCAGCTGCGTCTCTGATCTCGACATTATGTAGAACTTTGGATTCCTACTCCTCAGCATCGCTTTTTCGATGGGATGTTCACAGACATTGACCTACTAATCATCGTTCATCCTACACAGTATTCTTTGATACTCACCACATCGCCTGCCTGCTCAAGCTCAGCTCTTGTGTTGGGTCGGTCGAATTTCTGATCTAGCTGCACAAGGCAGGAGTACAGTGACGTTTGTTCCGTTGAGCTGGAGTCAGTTCTCACCTCACGAATACATTCTTCGTGAATATGCAAATCTCTATCGAGTTTCTCCTGCTTTTCCTCAGCTTTGAGCAAATATTCAACATTCAACAGTAGGTGACTAGGTGACCTTTCTAACAAGTGAACTCTACTCAGAGAGCTGTTCTATGTAAACACTTCAAATAGCGTGCACTCGATAAAACGTTCTCAAATTGCACAATTCGAATAAAAGAACTCACGAACAATTTCAAACTAACCTTAACAATTATGGGCTTCTGACCATGCTCCCGTTCGAGTGCGTTCGCTATCCACAGTTTTAGATCAGCGAATTTGTCCATAGCTGAAGTTTGAAAGCGTATAGACTCGAACGAATGACAGGGCTGTGATATGAGTACGATTGGTTCCCAAATCGATCAAAAGGGCCATTCCTTAACAAAACAAATCAAATCTTATCAGCAAAGATCAGAGCACACCTCAACCCTTTGGTTTGTTGACCTAATCACGATGACCTTAATGACCATAAATATGTACTGATAGCAGTCGCTCAGTGCAGTATTGCGCGAAGTAGTTTTCCAAGCATGGGACACGAAAAAAGCTTTTATTGCGGACATAATTCTAATCACTGATCCTTCTCATGGAAAACATTTCATTGAGCCCGACAGTACAATCGTTCTGCTCAGAGATATGAAAGATTTCGGATATGTTGATGAGTCACCTATGCTTGATT